CATTCACTTTATTCACTCGTGTAAAGTCGGGCACCACTCGGGAGAATTAGGGAATGCAACAGTTGGAACAGCCACTTTCCTGCAGTGGAAAAAAAAATCGAAATCTAGATAAGTAATTTTTTTCTTGAAAAATAAATGCATTTGTTGTTGGATCGAGGAGGTAAAAGAGACATTTTGCCAATGGATCAAGACAATTTACTCTTAAAATAAGAAAACACAATTGCATTGTCTTATTTCAAGTGCATATTATCGAATTATCTTATTTTAAGAGTAAAAATACTTATTCCATTACCTACTTAAATTAAGGGTAAATACACTTAATTTAAGAAATTTTTACTTATTTCTAGATTGTTTTTCCAGTGTACGGCTTCAAAAGATCATAATTACATAATTTGCACTTGAAATAAAACAACTGAATTGTTTTTTTTCTTAATTTAAATGTAAATGTTGTTCCACTGGCAAAATATCTCCCTTACCTCGTCAATTCAAGAAAAAATGCAATTATTTTAAGAAAAAATTACTTATTTAGATTTCATTATTTGCAGTGCAAATACTTTTAGCTTTATTATATTTTCCTCCTGAGCTTCACATGCCATAATAACCAATTAATCTGGTTTCTCCTTTTAAAATGGGAAACCAACCTTCTGGTATCAATGGATTTCTCTGAGTTTAATGCATTTAACCACAAAGGGATCATGTTTGCTGATAATCGTGCCATAGTGCTCACTTGGAAAACAAAGTCCAGTGGTTTGTTTTTTACTTTATTTTTTACTTTTTTGGATTGACTATGACCTGGTATAATGATGGAATCACCCCCTTAGAGGATGTTCTTTCAGTTCACTTCAATTAAATTTAAATCCATTCTATTCAGTTTATTTCTATAGCTCCAATTCACATCATGTCATCTCAGGTCACTTTCAGTTNAGCAATCCCTCACACTAAGCATGCTTGTAGCGACAGTGGAAAGAAAAAACTTTGTTGTTTGTTGTTTAATGTTGTAGAAAAAAAGCAGATCACAGACATTTTCTGCTTGGTCTAAAAAAGTTAACATTACTGACTACCACATTTTTGTTTTTATTTCTTATAGTGTTTCTTAAAGCCGGACAGCAGCATTTAAAATGACTTTACTTTTGTGTCATCTCTGTGATCTGCTTATTGACTGAACATCCTCTGTTGCCGCTGATTTCATCATTTTTGCGAGAGGTTGTACACTGAGATAATTGCACAGAAATGCAGAAATGCTAATGTGTTGTTTGTTTGCCTCAACCTATTCAACATAACACACCAATCTGACACTGTGACTGAGGCTACTTCCTCTGACAGTCATGCATGATCATAAGCCAGTAGGCTACTATGATAAAAATAATTGAAACAGCAGTTTTTCCTCCCTGTTTATTGGACTTTGTTCTTTACAGGATCCAGTGTCTGAGGACAAGAAAGACGGAAATGAGGCGATGGACAGAGTGGATGAAGGAGTAGAGGAGTTCTTCACCAAGAAAATCCTCCCTGACTATGCACTGTAAGTCCCACTGCAAACTAAAGACCAGGGTAAAGCAACAACACCAAAAATAAATGTGGAAACCCAAAAAACGTGACATTAAATAGCTTTACAGGAGCTCCTCTGATAAAAACAAAAACAATCCACAGTCAAAAAATCATGTTTCTACTGACTGTCTGTCCTCATTTTCATCATCCAGCTTCACATCGGCTGAAACCTTTTGTTGAACTCCCCGAACTTTCACTACTTTTCACCCTAATTTTCACATTTTGTTTCGCTCAAACAAACTTTTCCATTGATTTCACTGCAAAAACAATCTAGAAATAAGTAAAAAAATTCTTAACCTAAGTGTATTTATCCTTGAAAAATCTTAGACAGGTAAAGAAAGTCCACTTCTTTTTCTAGCATATTCCATTGTTGATATTTAATATCAGTTTAAACAATTATAAAATGGATAAAAACCAGAATGAACAGAATGAAACCCACAGTTAAATTGAAAGAGATAGTAGCAGTTTGCTTATTGTAAGCAATTCAAAGATAAACTCCTAAAACAGAGGTCAGCAATCTGCGGCTCCGGAGCCGCATGCGGCTCTTTAGCGCCCCTTTGTGGCTCCCTGGATCTTTTTCAAAAAAGTATGAAAATATGTAAAACAGGTGTTACACAACTGTAAACATTTTTTATAATAAATTTAAACAATGAATGTAAATATTTCTTTCAACAAAAATTGGCGTCATAGCCTGGGACACACGTTTCAGCGCAGCGCAGCGCCAGGCAGGTGGCTGCTGTAAACAAAGCGGTGGGTGTGTCTCAGGCCTCTAATCCCAGAGG